CGACCCCTCCAAAGCCCACCTTCTGCAGGCGAGGAGAACCTAACGACAGCCCAGGCTGCCCCCTTGTTCAAGGCCGAGGACAAATCCGTATGCGCCCCCCACCCCCACTCCAGCTCCGCGTCCTTCAAATGCGGGAGCAGGAGTAAAGCTGGCCCAGCGCCCCCTTTCCGAGCTCTCGGGTGGGAAGAACCACACCGCCCCAAGCCAGGCAGTGCCCGGCAGGAGGCTCTATGTCCTCAGCCCCCACCCCGAGCCTCTCTACCGCGACCCGCCTTCCCTCCCCAGCCTCTCACCTGTTCCTGCTTCCAAGCTCCGCCGCTGCAGCCGCCGCCTCCGCCCCAGCAGGTTCCGCTTGGCTCTCCCAGCCGATTTCAAAGCGGCTGCTCCCCTGGCCCCGCTCTCCTACTCCCTCCTGCCTTCCCTCTACCTAGCACCGGAAGCCGCGACAGCGACAAGAGCTGTGCGGCGCACCCCCACCCCCAGACTGGGATACTTCCCACCTCCTCGATCGCGCGAGAGCTGCGCGGCAGCGAGTGGCAGTTCTCGCGAGAGCCATCACCATAGCAGCGGCTGCAGCAGAGGTATCCAGGTGCTAGAGCTGAAGCCCGGGCGGGGGCCGATGTGGGGGCTGAAGGCTGGTGGGCAGTGGAGGCGGGAGCCGGGGAATGAGGATGAAGCACTGGGGACTGAAGTGACAGTACAAAGCTCCAGAGCCATGCCTGAAATTTAAGGACTGGGGCTGCGTGCAGGCCACGCTGGAGACGGGTTGAGCTGAGAGGCCCAGGCACCTTGGGCAAAGCCAGAAGCACGGTGTGAGTGAATAGGCCTTGATGTGGCCCGCCTAACTCCTCCAGAACTCATCCTATTTCTTAACCAGGGCTGGCAGCATCCCTCTGAGAGCTCCCTTAACACCGGTGTTACTACTCGCCACTAGGTTACTCAGGAGTGTGAATCAAGATATCCTTTCCTATAGGGAAGAGAAGGGAGAGGGATAAATTTAAGAAACTGAAGGAAACGACTGAACTCTGGGCCATTTGGGAAGTTGGAACGTTGAAGGTTGAAGCCTAATTGAGAGATGTGGTTTGAAGAAGTGTACCTAAATGATTATGAATTTCAGTACCCCAAGGAAAGTGAAAGACTGTGCATCCACGTTCCTCTATTCCTGCTCACCCTCACTTTCCTCACACTCATTTCTGGTCAAGACCTGCAAAGCTGTGTTGGAACACTCAAGGCTGTCATAGAAGACAGGCACTAGCAATGCTAAGAACAAAAGACGGTTCTCTGGGTGCCCTCTGTCTACATTTATTGCAGTCTAGGGGAACACATGGCTCTTCCCTAAGCCCTGAGCCAAAACTGATGCTTTTCTGGATTTTTTTGCCCTGTTTCTTGTCTCCTTCCAAGAAGAAGAAGGCTGGTATATAGCCACTATGTCTACCTCTTATTCCCCCCCAATCCCTGGTGTATGCATTCACCAGTCTCTTCCTCTTTTCCCAATCTGCTTTCTTTCATATTTTAACCTGGAGAATAACATGACCCTAGAATAATGTGAAGCCAAGAGAACCCTAATTTAAGATGGTGAGGGATGAGATGGCTAACAAGGAGCATGTTTATAGCAAAGAGAGTTGTATCTGTCCTGGGCTGTTGCCATTAATGTCCTTTACCCTGCTAAGCTTTGAATTTTAAGTGGTAGAACACTCCTCCAATGTTATTACAGACACGTAGAGTGGGCCCTGTGATACCTCCACATGATTACTTTACTCTTTCATTTATTTTCTTAAAAATGTCTAGGAACACTGTGGCAGGTTATGCCCCCACACTGATCATGCACATTATACCTTACAACCCCCCTTCCCTAGTACCCAACCACACCAACATGACTTGTGGCATTCTTACAGGAGGTGGAACCTGTGAATGTTACTGCCCAAGACTTCAGATTCTTTCAAGGTTGGGTCCCAGGTGTAACAGAAAGATGGAAATGGTGTCAGCCTAACATGGTAAGCAGCAAGTACCACCCTGGCTGGTTTATCTCAGTGGTTAGAGCATCGGCTTGCGGTCCAGAGCAAGAATCGTGGTATTTGAGTCAGAACTGATGAATGGGACTGGAGAACCTCCTAGCCCTTCCAACCTTCACCCCTTTGGAGTCTTCAGAGGAAAGTGTCTGTTGCAGCATTACTGGATGCTCCCCATGGAGCAAACAAAAGCAAAGATAGGATGGGTGCTACCCAGTTGGCAACTAGCCAAACACTGCCACTCCCCAGTTTCCTAACCACTTGAAAGGCTAAGGGAAAAGAGCTCATCTAGAGCTGAGGGAGGCAAAGAGACCTGACTTACAGTTCACTGGTCTTTCTCCCTCCTTCTGGCTTCCAATGGAGCTAAGTAAAAGCTAAAATTGTAGCCACCCGTTCTGTGGGTTGCACACTCCCACTCTTGCCACTGACCCCAGGCCTGGGCCTGAGTCCAGCTCGTGTGCTGGGAGCAAGGGTGGGGGGAGGGGTGTTGGCCTTGTTGACAAAATCCATTTGGAATTTCTCAAGGTTGTGGTTTGGGGCTTAAATTTGCCACAGAGTATGTCTGACTAAAGAGAGCTAGAAAGAAAGAAGGAGTCAAAAGGATTACAGAGGAAGGAAACCAGAAAAAGCTAAAATATTCTTGCTGTGACTCCATTGGAGATACTCCTTGTTCTTCCCGAGTGTGCAAGATTCCCATTCTGAGTATTCCTTATCATTATTCTCTCTCATATTCTATGTCCATTCTAGTTGCATCCCTTTCTCCCTAACTCCCCCCATATACTCACCAGACTCAGTCAGTGCCTGAAGTAAGGATGAGATAGCTTCCTGCCTCCATCAAATTTCCAAACCTAGAATTATCAGTGCTCAAGTGGAAATTTAGGACATAAAATTTTGCCATAAAGTACTGCCCTAACCCAACACTCCTCAAAATTTTCTTACTACCCTGGTGCTACCATCATTTTACCTGACTTGGAGAGTAATTTGGGCAGCAGACATATCTATTGTCTAGATCAGAGCCATAGATTTTCAATTTTTTTCATCTCATGGCACACATAAACTAATTACTAAAATTCTGTGGCACACTAAAAAATATATTTTTTGCCAATATGACAAAAATAGGTATAATTTTAATTCATTCACACTGTACGGTTATTGTTGTATTGGCTATTGTTGTTTTTTATTTGACAGTCTAAGGGAAAAGAGGTCAGTGCCCCTGACTAAATAGTCAAGTATTGCATGTTTTTTTTTTCTTCTTTTTAAAGAGAAACATCGATGTGAGAGAAACATATCGATTGGTTGCCTCCTGCATAACCCCAACCAGGGCCGGGGACCAAACCACAACTGAGGTATATGCCCTTGACTGGAATTGAACTCGAGACTCTTTGGACCAGGGGCTGGGCTGACTCTAACCACTGTGCCAAACTAGCCAGGGCAAGTATTGCATGTTTTAAAATTTTTTGCAGCTCACCCGGCCAGTGTGGCTCAGTGGTTGAGCAGTTGACCCATGCACCAAGAGGACGCCAATTCAATTTCTGGATAGGGCACATGTCCAGGTTGTGGGCCTGATTCCCAGTGGGGAGCATGCAGGAAACGGCCAACCGATGTTCTTTCTTTCTCATCAATGTTTCTAGCTCTCTCTCCCTCTCTCTTCCTCTCTCTCTAAAACTCAATAAAAGAAAAAAGAAAAAAATTATTGTGGCTCTGGCCGGGTGGCTCAGTTGGTTGGAGCACCACCCTATACACCAAAAGGTTGTGGATTCAGTTCTCAGTCAGGACACATACCTAGGTTGTGGGTTTGATACCCAGTTGAGGTGTGTATGGGAGGCAACTGATCGATGTTTCCCACATTGATGTTTCTCTTCTCTCTTCCTTCCCCTCTTTAAAATAAAAATCAATTTCAAAAAATTTTTGCAGCACACCAGTTGAAATCACTGGTCTAGAGGAGTAGAAAGAACTACTCCTCTACATTCTACATTCTGGTAGTACATTCCTTAGTCAAGGAGATGACCTGTTAGAGTCAGCATCTTGCAACGCCATAAACAGTCACTTGTAAAGTTCTAAATGTATGGTGCATATCCTTTTTCCAAGTGAAAGGTAAGGTTTGTTTTCAAAGATACCAGACTAGGAATAGAAAGATTGGAATAAAAGACATTGTCTTTTCTCTAGTTATGGTTTCTTGTAAAAGATAAATAATTTCACTAAGATTAAATACAGAAGAGCTCTAAATAAAGAAGGACAAAATACATATGCAAATAATTCATTGGGAGAGCATGTTGGTTTTGCTAGTTTCCAGAGCAAAAAAACCTTCCTTTTTGAGCACAAGAATCCCTTTTAAATGTTTCCTATTAGTCTTGATATCTACCCCCGAAGTTCTCTGATTTGAAGCTAGAGAGAGAAGCACCTGCTCTTTTAGGTCCACCTTCAACATTGAGATATTTTCAGGACTTGAAAACTCTAGAACAGAGGTGACCTCAAAGTTGGGGTAGGGGTCAACAAGCCATAGCCAGAGGTCCAAATCTGGTCTGGCAGTCTGTGTGAATTAAATTTTATTGGACATCCTTTTATTTATGTATGGTCTATGGCTGTTTTTGATCTATAAAGATAGAATTGAGTAATTATTGAAGGGTTGAATACTTGTGACAAAACCCACAAACTTAATATATTTACTATCAAGACCTTTACATGGTGAGGTAAAGCCAAGCCTTGTTCTAGGGCAGTGACTGAGGCAAAATCTGGAGTTGAGGCACACGGAGAGTAAATATAGCCTATATTTGGATCTCTAGCCTCTCACACCTAGAAATACCCCCTGGTTTTTCACGTGAAGAGTTGCCAACTAAGTCACTGAGGCCCATTTAAAATCCTTTGTGGAACCAGCAGGATACACATAAATAAAGTCATTGAGTATAGGAGGGTAGGAGAATTCACCTGGAAAAGAAGCCATGGACTGGGATCCCAAGTGTGAGCAGAAATATCACCATCTGCATCCACCGGTCCAGTAACTTAATTTATTTTAGTTACAAACAGGAACCAAGAACAAGTCTCAGTACAATAAATTATCCATTCTCATCCCTTCTGCTAAAGAAAGAGAGGCTCAGAAAGTTTAGGCAAAACTCTTCCTTTGGAGGGTCCCCTTTAACATCTGAATGGAAGGGCAGACAACTTCCCTTAGGGCCTGGACAAATGACTCTGAGGACTCAGGAGAGAGTGCCCTGGCACTATGTCCCACCCCTAAGAAAAACCTCTCTGCCACTGTCTCCCATTACCCCACAAGAGGCACTCAGGCTGCAGTAGAGCAGTTCAGGAACAGCAAAGGGAATGAGTAGTTTCTTTCTGGATATAGGTCTCATGGCTCCACACAATGCCTCGGGCTAGCCCTCAAAGGAGAAGAGTGGTCAAACTATAGGGACTCCCCAGCCAAAAGGAGTGTGAATCAGAGTTAAAGGGACCCCAGGGTTGGGGAGAGGGGGACAATACAGTGCATTTCATCTTAGTCCATCTAGGTGTTTAAGGAGCAGAAGAGGGGTGACATCTTCCCCTCATGGCCCTTCAACTGTGAGGGAGAAGGCCACATATCACCTGACCCCCACCATCCCCAAAGCTGTTTCTAGGTACATACTTTGAGTTTTCAGGGGCCAAGATTGACCTTGAACTGAAATTAGAACAAAAGACTGAAAAGGTGTACCTCCTTTCCCCAGCCTACTGTGAAGCTGACCTTCACTTACACACATTGACCCACTCTGTGACCTTGCACTCATCACACAGCACGTAGCAGCACCAGTGAAAGCGGCAATGACAGCGCTCAACTCTTGTCTGCCGGAGCATGTTGTGGCCACGGCCACAACACAGGCTGCCACAGCCGTCCAGCAGGCGGCTGGTCTTGTTGCAGGCCCGGCCCCGGGTGCCTGGGGAGCCCACGGTGGGGTCTCGCTCACAGAAATCAGGAGACTTCTCAAAGTAAACCAGCTCTCCTGAGAGGCGTCGGGGACGGAGGCGGGGCTGGAAGGCTCCGGAGTTTCGGTTGTGGGTATCAATGAAGATGGCCCTGCCCAGTCGTTCCCTTAACGCCGCCCCCACTGCCCGGAACTCTGGGGCCGCCCTCCAGCAGGTCTTGAACTGGCAGCTGCCTGATGTGCCATGGCACTTGCATTTCCGCTTTAGGTTTTCAGTTACCACCTAGAACACCAGAGGGGTAAGAGGTGAAGGAAAGGGCAGGAAATGGATAGAGCACAGAGGCACAGAAGAGGGGAGGGAAAAGGGAGACACAGAGGGACAAACAGAGGCAAGAATGACCAAATGATTGTGGAATATTAGAATAAAAAGAGGCTGGCTGATAGCCCAACTCCTCCATTTTACTTCTCTGAAGCCAGAGCAGAGGGATTTGCCCATCTTTAATCACTAGCTGGTAACAGACTCAGGTGATAACTAGCTGGTAACAGTACTCAACTCCAGTTGTCCTGACTTCTAGCCCAGTGCTCTTTCCAGAGTGAGCACTGCTAAAATGGGGAGTCTGGGCCCAGAGTACTCCTGAATTCCATAGGGAAGAAGCTGTAATAATAGCTACCAAGTAATAAGCACCTGTCAAGGATGAGGGACTTTACTGGGTGCTCTATTTACTAGCTCACTCTTAATGACATTGTAAGGTAGGTATCCTTAGACTTTCTTTATGTATGCAAAACTGAGGTTAAGTGACTTGCTCGAGGCCACCCAGATGGTGACAATCACCCATCATATCTCATCCTCTTACTCTGCTGTACCTCTCAAACTCTAGCCAGGCCTGGAAAGCTAGGGAGACCCAGGACAATTTGCACACACATACCTGTCGCCCCACTCTGTTGTTGTGGATTCGCATTCGTGCCTGGATGTCCCGGGGAGCTTCCCTGGAATCCAAGAAATCCCGGGAGAACTTCTCTCCAAAGTCCATGTCATGGTTACAGCCACCCCATTCCCATGTGTCCTGGGGGCTAGGGCTGGGGCCTGAGCCAGGGCCCGGGCTGGGCAGGGAGTGGGGGAAAGTCTTGCCGCGGGATAGTGCCTGCAGCTGCAGCAGTTTGGCCCTCAGCCGATCCTGCTCACCACTGCCCTTCCAGCCACAGCCGCAGCTCACCAGCTTGCCCAGGCTGCAGGCTGTGGCTACCGCATGCATGACCCCAGCAGCCAGCATGGAGAAGGAAAAGGCACTCTCACGAAAACCTGGGGATGAAAGGGTGTGACAGTGGGGGTAAGGTTGACAGGCAACTGAGGGAAATAAACAGCCACCTTTAATTCTAGAAATTCCTAACTGAATCCTGACATTATCATTACTATTACTAGTAATTTGGGAGAAAGTTGTGGAAGTATAAAGGGAACTAAAAGTGCAGAGCCTCAGTTTCCTCATCTATAAAGCAAGAGGATGGGTTGAGATGATCTCTGAGGCCCATTCTTGCTCTGTAAATCTGGGATTTTCAGGTGTGGATGAAAGAGCTAGCCTAGAGGGAAAGACCCCAGGGGTTGGGAGATGACTAAAAGGGAGTCCCTGTGGTCTTTGAAGATGTGTTCACTGAGTTCCACATCTGAAAGCCTTAGAAATTCCCCAGCCCTTCAGGGAGCTTGGGTGGGGTGGAAGCTGAGGCAATTGGGATTCATTTTTTTCTTCTTCTTCTTCAGGGTTATTTTAATCAGTCTTTTAACCAACCTACCCTCCACCACCTCCAAACCCTCAAAGCTGTGGAGCTGTCCTTCACCTTTCCAGTTTCTAGTTTTATATTTTTTTCTTAAGACTGTTCTTTATGTTTATCCTAACCTGCTGTTACTCTATAAAATGCTGGGAAGGAGCCCTGGCCAGTTTGGCTCAGCAGTTGGAGCATCAGCCTGCGGACCAGAGAGTCCCGGGTTCGGTTCCCGCTAGGGGCATGTACCAATTAAATAAATAAATAAATAAATAAATAAATAAATAAATAAATAAATAAAATGCTGGGACGGGGATAGAGGTGGAGGTGATCTTCCCTAAGGCCTGCTTAAAATATTGGCTCCTTTGTTTTGTTTTTGGGGTCACAGAGGCTCAGGATGACAAGCTTTCCCAGCCTCAAGTAGATGTGCTTCTCATTTGGGCATCAAAGCCTTCCTCTATGGCATGTCCTGTAGAGAAAGAGGGGATCCCTCACTTCCTTTTAGGCAGGGGCTCCCAGGAGCCCTGAGAGGATGAGAGATAGAAGCTCCTTAGGGGTAGGGGCCTGGCCTTTTCCACCCCAGGATGCAGGGCTCCTAGCCCAACCTCCTGATCCCCCCCAACCTCAACCCTCCAGGGGTGAAGCTGTTTGCACACGTCTTGGGAATTCCCCCGCAGATGGCAGCTGCCTGTTAACCCTGTAGTCCCCAAAGTACTGCCCCCACCCTTGAGCTGAGCCCAGGATGGATCTTACCTCCTCCTAGGAGTAAACTCCAGCATGGCCTGGCAAGAGGCATCAGTGCCTCCCAGACCAGGCCAGCAGTGACCTGTTCTCCACACCTCCAGCCCATTCCTCACCTGCTCAGGTGAGAGCCACCTGGGGCCCCCACAGCACGGAAGAGGGGGCTGCTCCCCTGCTTCAAAGCCATCAAGGTCTTTGTTGCCTGTCTCAGTCCTGGGAACCCCAGCAATTAGGAGAGTAGGTTTAACCCTTAAACGGTTGGGGGCGGCACCCCACCTCCACTGAGGTTCTGGTGACACCAGCCTGGGCTTGTCCCTCCGAGAGGGAGGGGGGGTGAAAATTGGGGGAGTGAATGGGGGGGCGTTTGAAGCTTTCAGGGCTGGGGGCATCTCTTGCTCACAGGTGCAACCCAGATCCAGCTGTGTAGAAGCAGGAAAGGCGGGGGCTTAGGGTAGGGGAGCAAGGACCCAGCTGCCTTGCCGGCAGCGAGCAGGTGGAAGTCAGAAGTGCAGAGGCCCAGACGGGTGGCCAGACCCAGCTCCTCGAGGCTCCCAGGGGGAATTCCCAGAGAAGCCCCTCCCCAAGTCGTCCTGAACCTGTCCCTTCCCTCCTCCGCTCGCCTTGGCCTGTCCCCCACCCCCAGCCCCGGGCGGCGGCGCAAATCCGCCCCTCCAGGCTCACCGCGCTTGAGGATGGCGCTGTGGTGCGGCAAGCGGCCGCCGCCCTCGAGCGCGGAGCAGTTCCAGCGCTGATCGCGCAGCTGGTGCTGACACTCGTGGACCGCGATGTGCAGGCCCTGAAGCGCGGACGCGGTCACGTCGGGGCTGCGCAGGCACAGGCCTAGCTGCCGCTTGCTCAGGCCCGACAGCGTCAAGCACACGGTGTTGGCGGTCAGCGGCGGCTCACCGGGCAGCTTAAGGCCCAAAATCTCATTGCTTAGGGCCCTGGGAACCGAGAAGGCGTTTCTGGGTCTGTGGTCCAGGCCTCGCGCCCCCTCGGAATCCTCCCGCCCTGGGGCGGTGCTTCTAGCTCAGGCTTTGGGGGTGGGGTGCGGCTGAGTGACAGGGGGAACTGCTCACCGACTGCACAACGCCAGGAACAGAAGACCCGCGAGGCCCCAGGGCGGAGGCCGAGGCCGAGGCCGGGGCTCCTCAGGCATGTCGAAGCCCGGGCCCGAAGGCCCCGGTGGGCAGATCGATCAGGGCCTGCGGGACAGGGAGACTTAAGGAGGGTTCGAAGAATAGAGTGGCTCGCCTGGCCAACCGAAGGATGCCCAACTTCGGGCTCCTAATTCACCAGCGTCAGTACACTGACCCTGCTCACCTCTCCCCAAAAGAAACTGTAAGAATCACCCCCTTGATTCTCAGAGTCTCTGGGCTCTGCCTCTCAGCTGGGACTTATCGAGCGCCCCTGGAGCGGACCCACCCAATACACAATGCCAGGCACACAGACACATTCAAATTCAGACATACAGACTCACAAACCCCGCTCCACCACCTCGCCCACCGTTCCCTCTTCAAGGGCCCCACGACTCGCTTCCCCCGCCCAGCACAGCTTCACGCCCTCACAAGGCTACGGGGCGGGATTGGGAGGGGGTTCCCCACCACCTACAGCCGGTGGGGTGGGGGTGGGGAGAGTGTCACCTCCAGGTGCCGTCGAGGGCAGGCAGCCTCCATGAGAATGGTGGAGGAATGGGCTCCCCACCGGCTCTACTCCCTTCCTCCGCAGTAAGGAAAGAGGGGAGGCTCCAGGTGCGGCAAAGGCGGGCGGGGAGGGGACCTGGTTCCCACCTGAAAGCGATCTTGCGACTCAGGCTGAGTCCTCTTCCTCGTCTGCCACCGTTCCTAACTACACGTTCCCCGCCTCCGCGAGTCGCCCATCTGGTCCTCACAGGTCCCAACCTCAGTCCCCACCCCTTTCTCTCGTGTTCAAATCTGGGGGGGCACTCCTTTATTTGCTGGGTCTTTATCTCTGGCAATATCTCTGGCTCCCTATGCATCTCTGTGCTCCTGTGGGCGGATGCGTGTCTGTCTGACTACCCGTGTGCCTGTCTCATCCCAGTGTGCGCGTCCCTGCCCTGCCCGCTTTCCCGGTTCCGATTACCTCCAGCTGCTCTGGTGCAGGGTCCGCCACCAGCGAGGTCGGGTCGCCTTGACTCGGGCTGCTCAAACCGTGGGGAGAATGCGTCGGGTTCTGCCCCCTCAGCAGAGCCGCATTCTTCCAGGGCAGGGCCACTCCTCTTCGCCGCTTTCCCAGCGCCGCCGCGGCCGCCGGGAAGAAGGGAGGGAGGAAGGGAGGGAGTGATCGAGAAAACTAGCGAGAGGGCGAGCAAAGAACAGGGACTCTGGCTCTACTCGCGCGGAGCTCACAGGCGGCTCTGCCACGGCTGACAGAGCTGCGGCCCCTCCCTGAGCCCCGGGCATCCCCACCCCGCTCCTCGCACCCCCCGCCTTGACCCGGGGAGCGCAGTCGCTCCCCCTCCTCCCAACGTACACACACCCTCTCCCCCGACGCGCCCGGCAGGCTTGGCCCCACTGAAGGGGGAGGTGGCCAGAGTTCCTCTCACCTGCTCTGGATTCCCCAAGGCTGCACGAAGGGTGCTCTGACCCAGACTAGAGAGCCAAGACTTTGGTCCCAAGTGGTCATTTCTCTTTGCCTCAGTTTCCCCACGGAGCACCGGATGGCTGGAGAATGCTTTTGACAAAACGAAGACAGAGCTGAGAACTGACTCCCCTTCTTAGACAGTTTCGGGTAAAGCTGTCAGCAAGAGCGCACCTGCGGGAGAAGCTTCCTTCTGGGTGGCTTGGCTTCCACTTACCTCCCAGACCTGTGCCTGCCTCTTGGGAGGGGTCAGCTTTGGCCTCAGAGTTTGACCCTAGCAGAGACTCTGTTAGTCCCCAAAACCTTCAGCCTGCCTCATGCTTCCCTTGGTTTGCAGGCACCATTGCCCGAAGAGGTCTTCAGCCCTTCCCAGAATCCTGGGTCTGCACTTTGGGTGGCCCATATTTCTGCTTCAGACTCCCAGACTTGCTTCACATGAAATGAGGAGGACCTCGGGATCCCAAACTGAGCCCAGACCTAGGACAGTAAGGGAAAGAGCCTGATCTTGGGGTGCACAGCTAAGGCAAACCACCTTAAGGAGTTCCAGTGGCAGTGAAGGGGTTAGATGCCACTGCACTCTTGCCTGACTCACCCTCCCAGCTCTAACCACTGTGGGCTATTTTTGCCAGAGAGGGGCCCCAGGCTTCCCAGCCACCCCTCTGCCCCTGCCAGACCGCAGCCCAAGGTACGGCTGGCCCTGCGATCCCAAGGCTGGCAAGTTGACTCAGAGACAGGCCCCCCAGGGAAGCAGAGCCACGGGGCTGAAACCCACAGCCACAGTCATCTCTTCCTTGGTGGTGGCCATGCAGCTCTGCTGGGCAGCCTCTAGCATTCGCTGCTGGAGTCCTGCCCTGTGCTGCAGAGGATACTGCTGTCTAGGGGGCAGAGTGGTCTGGAGAGATCAGTGATTTCTGTCTGTTGTGATATTTATTGATTATCTTTATGTGCCAGGCCTTGAGCAGGCTGGGGAGGTATAAGTGCTATGGTTCCTGACAATGGACAGTTGTGACCACAGAGGGCTGCTCTTTCCTGCTTTCTCGCCTGGGAGAAGGTGGGAGAGAAGGTGCCCTAGAGCTCTTGCCTCTTCTTCCTGATTAGGGGCCAAGAACCAAACTATGTGTGGCTTTTGAAGCCACCAGAATCCACAAGACCTATCTCAGCAGCTTTCATCCTTACACCTGGATTTGGTGATTCTTGTCAGTTTCCTTGTCCTTCTTCCTGCATGTGAGCCTGTAAATCCACCCAGGTCCCTGGAAGAGGGGAATGAGGTTTCCTATTTCCCTCTTTTCTCATAGGGATCACTTGGGCATTTGTATGTCTCCATGTGTCTCTGAGTCTCTCTCAGGTTTTGGATTGTTTCTTCTGATTCTATCCTTGTCAGGTTGCAGTATAGTCAGGTGCTAAGGAAGAGCCAGGGTCAGAACCACAGATTCCAACTTCTCAGTGACCCCAGGGCTCCCCAAGTTAGCCTGTCCCAAATCCAAAAAACTCATACTGCTGGTCCCTCTTCCTGCAGAAGCCCAGCTCTGATAGCGGAGGCCACAGGCAGGCAGACTGGGTGGCCTGAACTGGCCCCCAGTGCCCTCAGCACGACCGGCTGGCCTGAACACTGACCCGCAGGCAGGCCGCTGGAGGGTGGTGGGGCAGGCGGGGCCTGGAGAGGGCTGTGGGTACACACCCATTGCCTAATATCCCAAGCACGCGGCCAGCTCCAGGAAAGGGGAGGGGCGGGAACCAGAGAGACCTTGACAAGGATTGGGGCCATGACAAGAGGGGAAAGTGAGGGGCTGGCATTACTTCAGGGAGGGAGTGGGAAAAAGCTGGTCCCCATTCCCCTTGATGGGGCTGCTTTCCTATCATAGGGATAGAGGGTGTAGCAGGAGCTATCTGGGAAGAACACTGGGGCCCTGGAGGGCGGGGGTCAAAAAAGAGTAGGGGCCTCTGGAGATTGGGGGATCAAGCAACTGAGGCGGTGGCTAAAGCCAAGAGCAGCCTCGGAAACCTCCTTCTCCTCCTCCCGCTGTGTTTGCCTTGGCCCAGGGTCCCGAGTGAGTCATCTATTGCTGAGCCGCTGATAGGGGCGGCCAGGCTGGGGGAACCCAAATTATAGGCCCAGGAGGGATGGATGCGCCCGCAGTGGTGAGCTCAGCTGCGTTGCCCACCCTCTTCCTCTCACGCCTTCTGCTGCAGCACCGTAGGCCACCACCTGGAGGCACCAAAGGGTCCGAAGCCCAAGTGCGCTGGACTCTCAGGAAGCCCCTCACATTCAGCAGTTAGCCTTAAGAGTCTGTGGGATTCCCCTAGACCGGTGGTTCTCAACCTTCCTTATGCCACGACCCTTTAATACAGTTCCTCATGTTGTGGTGACCCCCAACCATAAAATTATTTTTATTGCTACTTCATAACTGTAATTTTGCTACTGTTATGTCTTAGGTGACCCCTGTGAAAGGGTCGTTCTATCCCCAAAGGGGTCACGACCCACAGGTTAAGAACCACTGCCCTAGACAGAATTTGGCCCCTTCTCTACCAGAGGCTGATAGCTTCTCAGATCAAGGAGGTAGTGCTGCCCGCTGGTGCTTCAAAGGAAGGTAGGATCTTCTGCCCACAAACTCAGCCCTGGTCTCCACTTTCTCCCCAGATCCCAAGATCAAGGTAAAGCCCCTCTCCCCTCCAGCATCTCTCTTCCCTGTTCTAATTCCAGAGGGGGTGATTTGCTACTGATTTTACACTTCAAGCCTTTAAAGGTCTCCGTGATCAAGTGATACAGGAAAAAAATAAAGCAGGGTAAAGGAAATAGGTTATAGGATTTTATATAGGGGGAGGGAAAAGGGAGTGAGACAACAAACCTATGGAGAGATCTGAGGAAGGGCATTTCAGAAGACAGAAAAGCAAATGCAAAGATCCTGAGATAGGAGCTTGTTTGGTATGTTCAAGGAATTAGCAAGGAAGCCAGTGTGTCAAGAGAGAGAGAAACCTGCCCTGGCTGCTTTGGCTCAGTGGTTAGAGCATTGGCCTGCGGTCCAGAGAGACCCGGGTTCGGTTCCCGCTAAGGAACCGAACCTAGGTTGCAGTTTGTCCCCGGCCCTGGTGGGTCGTGCGGATGGCAGCCACTCGATGTGTTCCTTTCACATCGATGTTTCTCTCTCTCTCTCTCTCTCTCTCTCTTCCTCTCTCTCCCTCCCACTCTACCTGAACAAAAAATGGAAAAATGTCCTCGAGTGAGGATAAAAAATAAAATAAAATAAAAAGAGAGAGAGAGAGAGAGAGAGAGAGAGAAATCCACCTGGCAGAGAGTGGTAGGCAATGAAGTTAGAGGACCAGGAAGGAGCAGAGTCAGATCATAAAGGGCCTTGTAGGCCACTGTAAAGATTTTGCCCTTTCCTTTGAGTAAGGTGGAAAATCACTGGAAAATTCTGAGCAGGGGAATAAAATAATGTGACTTTTGTTTTAGAAAGAATGGCTCTGGTTGCTGTATGGATAATAAACGTGTATGTGGAGAGGGGGCAAGGGTAGAGGCCGGAGGCTATTGCAATAAATATAGAAGAGAGTTGATGGTGGCTCTGACCAGTGTTGTAGCAATAGGATGGTAAGAATGCATCAGATTTTGAAGACAGAAGGACAGCATCTGTTGATTGATTTGAGGTGCTGTCTAAGAAAACAGATGAGTCAAGGATGACTTTAAAATTATTTTCCTGAGCAATTAAACTACAGGAAGGACGGAGTTGCCATTTACTGAGATGCGGATGACTGATGACAGAGCAGGTTAGGGTGAGGGAGGAATCACAAGTTCAAGTTTTGGGCATGTGTATTTTGAGATGCTTATTCAAGTGTTAGATGTGCAAGTTCAGAGTTCAGGGGGTCAGAGATATAAATTAGGGAGCATGAGACTGGATAGTTCACCAAAGAAGTGAGTGTAGACTGAAAAGAAACTCCAGATTGAATTGGGGTGCAGTCCCAATTCAGTTTAGAAAGTGGGTACACAAGATGGAACCAGATAAGGAGACTGAGAAGATGAGCAACCTGGGAGGTAGGAACAGTGTTCCAGAAAACACGTGAGACAATTTCAGGAAGGAGGAAGTGTTCGATTCTGTGTGCTGTTCCTAGAAGGTAGATCAGGTTGAGCCCTGAGAGTTGACTGTAGAGCAACTCAGAAGTCATGATTTTGATAGGAGGAGGAGTGGGTTCAAAGGTATGATTAGCATGGAAAGAGAGAATAAAGAAAAGAAATTGGTGTTAGTGATTAAAGCAAACCCTTTGAGTTGCAGTAAAAGAAAACAGACAGCCCGGGCCAGTGTGGTTCAGTGGTTGAGCATCAACCCACGCACCAAAGGTTGCCAATTGATTCCTGGTCAGGGCACATGTCCAGGTTTTGGGCCAAATCTCCAGTAGGGGGCATGCAGGAGGCAGCCAATCCATGTTCTCTCTCATTGATGTTTCTATCTCTTTCTCCCTCTCCCTTTCTCTCTCTCTCAAATCAATAAATACATTTTTAAAAAGAAAGAAAACAGACAAATGGGGCAATCTTGGATGGTAGTGGGGAGTCAAATGAAGTTTTGGGGTTCTTAGATATGAGATTACAGCATATTTATGTACTGATGGGTATGATCCAGTACAGAGATAAGCTGATGATGCAGGAAAGAAACAGAGAACACTGGACACAGTAATGATTTGATCCAAATAAAAATTTGGGCCAGGTCATAAATAATGTGACCCAGACCTAGAGCCCTTCCCTACAACTCCTGGTGGGTAGAATACTGGCTCCTTCTTTCCTGTCTTCCTACCTCTACTTGTTTGTCACCAGTGGTCACAGAGGAGGCTTCTCTTTCTTTTGGCCAACTTCCCACCTCCATGGGGTATCAATTCACCATGCCAAAAGACTTGACCCAGGCCCAGGTGAGGAGAAACTCCTGAGGGATATAGGACAAGCTGCCCATGGTACATTGTCTATTTACTTGAGCCATCTGTGCTGGGTACCCTCTGCAGAGACTACTGGCTTCTAGAACTTCAGAGGATGCTAGATCAGTACACTGTCCCTCAGGGTTGAATTCTTAGAGGAGCCAGGTATACTGGCCTGGGCAAAGGGCCTGGGAAGGACAGTGCCCTAAAAAATAACCTCCATTGCCCTGGCCAGTTTGGCTCAGTGGTTAGAGCGTCAGCCTGTGGTCCAGAGAGACCCAGACCCGGGTTCAGTTCCCGCTAAGGGTGCATGCCTCGGTTGCAGTTTGTCCCTGGCCCTGGTTGGTGGTGCAGGTGGTGGCCACTCGATGTGTTCCTTTCACGTCGATGTTTCTCTCTCTCTTCCCCTCTCTCTCTCCTACTCTATCTGAACAAAAAAATGGAAAAATGTCCTCAGGTTGAGGATAAAAAATAATAATAACCTCCATTAGGCTTCATTTGGGTTAACACACATCTCATTTAAAATGCAAGTGCTGCCTGGCAGGTTTGGCTCAATGGTTGGAAGTTAGAGCTTCGGCCCTCAGACCAAAGGGTTGTGGGTTTGATCCCTAGTCGAAGGCACTTACCTGGGTTGCAGGTTCAATCCCTGGTCCCAGTCAGGGTTGTGTGTGGGTGAGGAGCAACCAATTGATGTGTCTCTCACATCAATGTTTCTCTCTCTCTCTCTCCCTCCCGCCCTCCCTTCCATTCTATCTAAACACCAATGAAAAAATATCCTGGAGTGAGGATTAACAAAAATAAATAAGTAAATAAATAAATGAATAAAATGCAAGTGCCTGCCCTGGCCAGTGTGATTCAGTGGTTAGTGCACAGGCCCAGGATCAAAGGGTCTCAGGTTTGATTCATGGTCAAGGGCTTGTACCTGGGTTGCAGGTTTGATCCCTGGCCCCAGTTGGGGCAGGTGCAGGAGGCAACCAATCAATCTCTCTCTCTCTCTCTTCCTCCCTTCCATTAACAACAACAAAAAGTATCCAGGCCTGTTTCAGCTAAGGGTTTGGAACATGGCGGATTGTCATGCTGACTTCCCCTCCAGAGGATAAGGAATCTGATGCTTGGAGAATGTCCTGGCCTGCGTAGGGTTTCCTAGAGACATAATTGTGTCAGAACCCAGGACTTGTGCCATGCCCACCTTTCCACTGCTAAGGACTGCCTCTTAGCAGAAATTAATATTATTAAAATTAAAGCTTATGCTTTCAAAATGGCAGGAAACATGTAACACGAGTAAGCAGAAATTCAGAGAAATTAGAATGGCTACTGTGAAAAAAATGCAAGTGTCCCAGGAAGATCAATTAAACTTATCAGGCATTTATTCCTTAGAGTGATTCCCCTGCTTTGAAGGGGTGTCCTGGTCATTTCTAGGACTTGGAACTTTTAGAATAAGGCCTGGGTATATTCCTGTGTGAGAAAGCATCCTAAGGGCAAAATACATGAAAAAGAGAGAATCCAAAAGGGAGGCAGGAAGCTCCTTAAGATCATTTTTATTTACCTGTCAATTGTGAGAAGGACCCACAGCCTGCTGCTGCTGCACAATCACAAGCATCTGGTCAGGTGAAAAGGGCATGTGCTTTGAGTCAAAATGGTCTGAGTTTTAGCCTGGCTCTATTATTTATTCGTTTATCACCCGTGTGAACCATGGACAATTACCTAATCTAATTTTTCCTCTGCAAAATGGGAAAAGAGGTGTAAAGGAGGAGATCCTCCCTCCTTCCAGGGGCCATCTGTGTGTGCTGGTGGGGCATGATAACCAGGCTGGCAGTGCCCCCAAGCCCTGTAGGGGCAACAACACTTCTTCAATAGGAGACCAAGATGGTCTTGAATCTGAGTTGGAGTCCCTGGGAGGGTAGAGAAAAGTGTACAACAGAGGGGATGGTTGCAGGTGCGCTGCGTCTCCCAGCACAGTGACAGTGGAAGAGAACCAGAGTTTGGGGGTAAGACAGAAACTTGGTAAAAAAAAAAATCCAAAAAGAATCAAACACATGGAAGCACAAGTTCCCTATTCTGGGTGCAGTTTAGCCAGTGGCCCTTCTCTTCCCAGTCCTCCCCCACCATACACACACCTGACATCTACTTCATTGCCCTTCCTTTCTGAGCCAAGTCCTCAGAGACTCAGACACTCCAGGCCTTGTTCATCTTGACACCACCTTGGTTGCTGGCTTAGCTTTCTTCCCCCAGTGACATGCTCAGGTTGACACATACCACAGGGTGACACACCACACAGAATGACACAAAGTACACAGGGCAAGAGTGACACATATATGCATATTTAATCTCCCTATGCACACATTCATCCACTCATCCACACACAGTCCCAGACATTCTGTATTTTTCAGTCAACTGGGTCTCTCCTGACAGTAACTGCTACCTCCTTTCTGACACATAGGAGATGTGCACTGCCCCAGGTGGTGGCTGTAACATGATGACTTTATGATCCCCTCTGACCTGAGTCAGATACCAAGATTCTTTAGAAAGGCTTCTAACATCTTTCCTTAAACTATGGAGTTTCTGCACATGAGAACACACATGAGTGTGTACACTCAGAACACATTTTGGAGCATTCTGACATGCACCCACATTTGCATTGTCCCACTTACACACACCACACAGACACAGCCACTGGTGTGCACCTTCTGGCCCATAAGCACAAAATGGCGCTTCCTCCGGTTTCTTTTCATGGCCAGGCTCTGTTTAGTCACCTCACCCCCCAACCCACCCCCGGGATTTTACTGACCACATCCCCACCTCCACTCCCAGTCTCCCCCTTTTCCTTCCCTACCCAGCCATCGAGTGTTCCCAGAGTCACTGTCCAGAACCACAGCTTTCCTTCCTTCACTCAGGATGGGAGAGAGAGGGGACACCGGCGAGGCCCGGGGTGGCGTCGAGGGGACAGCCCTAGGGCAGGCGGCAAAGCGGCTGGGCTCCGGTGGATTTTCACGGAAAATTCAGAGAACACATTGTCGCTGCGCCCCCTGGCGGACGCTCGCCCCCGACGGGCTCCCGACGCCAACAGGAGTGAGGCGGGCGGGCGCGCGTGGGAGGGCGCCCTAAGGGGAGGGGTCGGCGGCCAGTGCAGGCCCGGAGGCGGGAGCCACCGGGCAGGGGGCGGGGGTGAACCCCGACGGCCAGCCCGTCAGCGTTAGGCTCAGACGGGCGGGAGCCACGGCCCCGCTCGCTGCCCATTGTCTGTGCCCCTGACCGGTGCCACAGTGCGGCCCGGCGGGGCAGCCTCCTATCGTCACTTCAGCCACCGCCGCAACTATAAGAGGCGGTGCCGCCCGCCGGTGGCTGCCTCAGCCCACCAGCTGGGACCGCGAGCCATGCTGCCCGCCGCCCGCCCCCAGGGCTGTTAGAGCCAGACTGCGAACTCTCACCACTGCCGCCACCGCCGCATCCCGTCCCACCGTCGCGGGCAGCAGCCAAAGCCGCCCCAACTGCAACACAGAGTGGGCAAGGCCAGGCAGGCCATGGGGCACTGGGCGCTGCTGCCCGGCTGGGTTTCTGCTACGTTGTTGCTGGCGCTGGCCGCTCTGCCTGCAGCTCTGGCCGCCAACAGCAGTGGCCGATGGTGGTAAGTGAGCTGGTGCGGGGTCGCCACTTGTCCCGGGGCGCAGAGCCAGGGGCCAGCCCTATCCAGCTCCCACGCTCCGGGATCCGTCCGCAGACAGGCTCCATCCAGCGCTCGGACTTCCCTCTGAGACACCGAGGGGCGCTCTGGAGCGGAGTTGCTCCAGAGAATCCAGCTCTGCTTTAGTGGGGTGAATGGTCCCGCCGCAGCGGCCCACTATACTCCAGGCAGGAGCCCACTCCCATCTAGCACCGCCCTTTCCTTGAGCCCCAAACCCAGCCTCACTGTGGTAGCCACATCACAGGTTTCCCTGCTTCGGGAAGCGAAGGGCCAGGAGTGTGCTTAGAAAGGAGACAAGAAGAGGATGGGACTCCTAAGCATTTCACGCCTTGGGTGGGCATGGACTGCAGGCCCGGATTTCTTCCCCAGGCTTCCCAGAAACACGCTTTGAAAGCGAAGGTGGACGTCTATTCTCCGGGGATTCCCCATGCTTCCCTTGTCCATTCCCCAGACCCAGGGCCCCTAGCAACCCTAGGATTCCTGGCCACACAAAAGTCTGGAACCCCAATTCTTTCAATCTAGTGAGCCCAAGAGAGCGGAGTCATTACCTTGATATTGATCTCCCCCGCTCTTTCCAGGCAAATAGCTCCAGAAAGAGATCAGAGTGGGCACAACCTTTTTTGTTAGGGTAAAAGGTCCTCCTTCCAGAGCCTGAACTATCATGCGTCTCACCAGGGGCATCGTGAATGTAGCCTCCTCCACGAACCTACTAACAGACTCCAAGAGTCTGCAACTGGTGCTGGAGCCCAGTCTGCAGCTGCTGAGCCGCAAACAACGTCGGCTGATCCGCCAGAACCCGGGGATCCTGCACAGTGTGAGTGGGGGACTGCAGAGCGCTGTGCGAGAGTGCAAGTGGCAGTTCCGGAACCGCCGCTGGAACTGCCCCACGGCTTCGGGGCCCCACCTCTTCGGCAAGATCGTCAACCGAGGTGGGTACCCAGGAAGGCGACGCCTCCGGGACTAGGGGAACTCGGGGTCACCCCCAGGGCATGGGTGGGCGAATGCAGGGAAGATGTCCCGGGCTCCTGCAGTCACAAGATCAACTCTCCATGAGCTTTATGCCCAGCGCTAGCTCTGGACCAAACTTTCGGTCTACCAGACGCTTTCAAGCCGTGCATCTCCGGCAGGAAGCTTAACTTTTCTGAGCCGCTGTCTCAGAGAAAGGGAGTTCTGAATTGTGGACGCTGGCCGGCCACCGCTCCCCCCAGCCCCTACCCCCGCTCCTCTCAGAGGCTCCTGTCTGGGAAGCTGCTGTCTGCAGTGGCGCGTCTTGCCTCCAGCCCAGTAAGGCTTGCTTTGCTCACAGGGGCCGAGTTTGGGCTGAGGAGAGGTCTTGGCGGTGCAGAGTTATTCCGCTCCCCTCTCTTCAGTTTTTCTTTCTGGGGTTGCCCCACTTCCACTGTGCTGAGTCTCAGCGCGATTACAAGTGGGGACGTGGTTGCGTACCCACACACGTGCTTTCCTTGTGACACCAGCTTCCCAACACAGCCCACCGCCTGGCTCTCAAGACTCCAAGGGCGGAAGCGAAACGTAGGACTCAAGGGTCCCAACCCCTCCACTGAGGGTGCTGGACGCACACCGCGTGCCCCCTCGCTGATCCCTGATCCCTTCCCCCACAGGCTGTCGGGAAACAGCTTTTATCTTCGCCATCACCTCCGCCGGTGTTACCCATTCCGTGGCTCGCTCCTGCTCCGAGGGCTCCATCGAGTCCTGCACGTGCGACTATCGCCGGCGAGGCCCTGGGGGTCCCGATTGGCACTGGGGAGGCTGCAGCGACAACATTGACTTCGGCCGCCTCTTCGGCCGGGAGTTTGTGGATTCCGGGGAGAAGGGGCGGGACCTGCGCTTCCTCATGAACCTTCACAACAACGAGGCGGGCCGAACGGTAAGCTGGTTTAAGGAGTTCTGCACCCGAAGTGGAATGACAGGGATCTGAGCAGGGGCTAATCTAGTGCTTGGGAAGTAACGGTTGGTGATAAGGCCAGGGCTTAGGGTAGGGAACCAGAATAGAGCATCCTGAAGGAGCAGGAGGCTTGAAAGGAAGCCAGAGAATGGAAGGGTTAAATGGCCGGGGCCAAAGGGATGCTTGGGGCTGAGGACAGAGAGTACCGAAGAGGTTAGAAATCATGTAACCCATAGAACTTATTGCCTACAGCCTCTTCATTGTACAGATTCAAAAAAAAATAAGGCTGAGAGGCCGAGACAGAGCCTCTGGAGTGATGTCCAAATTTCCGCGGGACTTTTCCTGCCTCCCTTCCCCTGGGCATGGCTAGGCCTGGTCCTGTGCTGAGCTTCCGGCGGCGCCCGGGAGGGGGCGGTATCTGGGGTGGTGGCTCTGATTCTAGACAGCCTTTTTTCCTTCCTTTCCCCAGACTGTGTTCTCCGAAATGCGCCAGGAGTGCAAGTGCCACGGGATGTCGGGCTCGTGCACGGTGCGCACGTGCTGGATGCGGCTGCCCACGCTGCGCGCCGTGGGTGACGTGCTGCGCGACCGCTTCGACGGCGCCTCGCGCGTGCTCTACGGAAACCGCGGCAGCAACCGCGCCTCTCGGGCGGAACTGCTCCGCCTAGAGCCGGAAGACCCCGCTCACAAGCCGCCTTCACCCCACGACCTCGTCTACTTCGAGAAATCGCCCAACTTCTGCACATACAGCGGACGCCTGGGTACAGCGGGCACGGCGGGGCGCGCCTGCAACAGCTCGTCGCCGGCGCTGGACGGCTGTGAGCTGCTCTGCTGTGGCCGGGGCCACCGCACACGGACGCAGCGCGTCACTGAGCGCTGCAACTGCACCTTCCACTGGTGCTGCCACGTCAGCTGCCGCAACTGCACGCACACGCGCGTCCTGCACGAGTGTCTGTGAGGCGCTGCGCGGACTCGCCCCAGGAGCATTCTCCTCAAGCCCACCCCACCCCCAGGCAGATTCGCTGGCCCCTAAGACCCTGATATGCGCCTACCCAGTCTGTCCAGCCACGCTCCCCGGGATTCATACGTATCTGATCGCTTCTCCCACCTCCTCCTACCTGGGGACTCCTGAAACCACTTGCCTGGGGCGGCAGGAACCCTCTTGCCATCCTGATGGACCTGCCCCGACCTACCTCCCTCCCTCTCCGCGGGAGACCCCGTTGCACTGCCCCCTGCTTGGCCAGGAGGTGAGAGAAGGATTCGTCCCCTCCCCTTGGCGGGTCAGCTCCAGACGGTGTTGCTTTGCCTCTGACACCCCGCCATCGACCTCCCTGACTCTCTCCCTCCCCTTTTAACTCAGTTTTCTCCAGGTCCCCACAGACCCCTACCGAGGGTGCAGACCCTGAACACACATCTGGGCATCAGGGCCTTTCTCCCCACCTACAGCTGAAGCGGGAAGTGCCAAGGTGAAAGGGCAGCTGCAGCTGTGGTGATGTGGAAAATGAGGTTGGGGGACCCAGCAGAAATACCCTCCATTCTCCCAGCCTGTGTCGTGGAGCCATTGAACAACTGTGAGCCATGCCTCCCTTGGCCACCTCCTACCCTTTCCTGTCCTGCCTCCTCATCAGTGTGTAAATAATTTGCACTGAAACGTGGATACAAAGCCACGAGTTTGGTTGTTGTAAATAAAACTATTTATTGTGCTGGGTTCCAGCCTGGTTTGCAGAGACTACTTCCATCCTAACCCAGTCCCTTTCCATTTTTCTCTTTTTTTTTTTTTTTGCCCTCCAACCTTTTCTGATCCTTCTCCTCTCCCCAAATTTTTCAAAGATGCCTTTGACTACCGGAATCAGTATTTCCTTCCACTGTAGCTATTAGTGGCTCCTCGCCCCCACCAATGTAGTATCTTCCTCTGCAGAATAAAAATCTCTATTTTTATCAATGTCTTGGTGGCTTATCCTTGAATCCAGAACACACCATTGTTTACCTCTCTTAAACAAATAGGGTACATTGTTGGGGGACTGGTTCCCTGGCCATGCAAGAGGACCCTGAGATTCTGACCCTCGTTGACCCTAATGAAGCCCCTGGGGATCCAGGTTTCCAGAAGAACCTGGTCAGAAGTCCAAACTCTCTGCAAGTTTCTTTTTCTTATTCAAACACCAACTGGCTGTGTGATATTGGGCAAGTGATGGCTGCCTCAGTTTCTTCCCTTGCTGAATGGAGATTAAACAAATGCTGAGCCTGTCTTTCCTATCTGGAAGAGTTGGTGTGAAGATAGCTACAATTTAGTGATAGCCATGACTGCATTCTGAAAAGAAACCAAAGAAAGAGACACCCAAGAAAGGGTGCTGCTGCCCTTGGTGTGAAGCTCCTGGTCCCTGAAGTCTGTCTGCTTCAGCTGTGGTCAGGGCAGTGGGCAGTGTGGACTTAAAGCAACATAATAAAAAAGAAACCCAAGTGTGGCCCATAACAAAACCATGAAGCTAGCTATTCCCATAAAAAGCCCACTGAGGAATCTGTCACTAACAACACTGATACCTCTGTGTGTCCATTCACCATTTGGCAGAAGTACTAATCTTGCCCACAGCCCTAAACCTATCTCTAGCTCTAATCCTTTCCCTGTCCCTAGGTCTAAATGTAACCTTAGCCTTAACCCTAACTTCAAACACTAACCCCTTCCTAAACTGTAATGCCTGTACCTAATCCGAATACTTCCCCCCAGGGGAGGACCCCAAAGACAGGGGGAGCTATGAAGCACTCCACCCCCAAGAGCAACAACTGATCCCAGCCAAATGGAGAATTTCCCCCTCTCCCCAGGATTCTTTTGCTGTTGTTGCTGCCTCCCACTCCTCCCTGGATGTGTGAACTTTGACCCCGTTGGCCTTTGGGATGTGTGGGGGTAGAGGAGTGGAGCCAGGAGCTGCTCAACGCAGCAATGTCATCCTTTCCCTTTCTTTCCGTCTGCCAAACCAGCACCAGCTCAGCTCCGATGGGCAGCCAGGGTAAAGAATCGAAACCTTATTGATCTGGGGTAGGAGGCACCTGACATGACTTGGGTTTCCAGTAATGAACCCCCTGCAGAGAACGCCCAGCCTATAATCCAATTAGATGTTGGGTCCCCCAGCTCCTAAAGCAAGAAGTTAATGGGCTGCCAGAGGCAGGAGAGGGGGATTGGGCCCCTGCTGGACAATGCCCAGAGTTGGGGAGAAGCAGCAGGGTGCGGTGGGGGGGTAGAAGTGTTGGCAGCTGGCCCCCGACCATGACCACTCTCACCTAACTCCTGACTCCAAGAGCTAGATCAGTATCTGCTTTAGGCCCAGATGCTGGGAGGCTCTGCACTAAGCTGACACATAGGAACTGGAAGAAGAGCAAGAGAAAGCAATGCATCCTGTTCTGGCCTGAACTATTAAACAAAGACGGTTATGTGTACTTAGTCTTCTTCAGGAAGGTGATGAGGTTTAGAGGAGATCATGTAGGTGAAAACTTGGGTCATTTGAGCACCTGATGATACCTGTTGTGTGCCAGGCATATGCCCAATGCTGGGGATATAGCCTTAGTGCTTCCTTGGAGGAGTTTACAGTCTGGCCGGGGAGCCAAGCACATCAATATATATTGTCAGTGTAATGGGGAGAGTACAATGAAGGCTCAGGGAAGTACAACACCCTCTGCCCATGCATGAGGTTTAAGGACAGACTCCCACACTCAAGCCCTCAGCATGGAGGTCCTTCACTTCCAGGGGCTGGGACTTTGAAGGCGAGGTAGGGAGTACAGAATGAGGACTGGTCCTCAAGGGGACATGCACAAATCAAAGGGAAAAAGCAGTGAAGGGGTTGTAGGATGTGCAAAGCACTAAGTAGGAGCTAATTATTTTGTGATTATGATTCTCGGTGCCATCCTCATGCACAACTTGAGCAGGTAAATCCCAGGGGAAAAAGCAGCTGTGTCTGGAGAGAGGCCTCACTAAGGTCTCAGGGCTCAGGGCAGCTCAGAGGGTTGCCATAGGATAGTGCTATCAGGAATGGGCCTGAAGCCTCAGCTCTGCTCTCTCCACCCAGGCTATCCTCCTGCTCAGCTCTGATCTTCAGGTACCAGATGTCACCACCCAGGGGAATCTAAGGCTGCCAGGGACCCCAGACACATGGTTGGCTTTAGCAAGTGAGGGAGGTGCTGGTCTTGAAATATCCAGGAGATGGGGAGGAAAACCTGAGAGGACAGAGATGGCAGGCCTGCACAGTCCCCAGGGGGTCAGCAGGCCGGCACCACACACACCCTGCCACATGCACCCTGGAAAAACCCTGTCAGTGGGGCTGCAAATACCCCAGGGTCTAGTACCCCCCCACACACCTCAGGCTGGTTCAGTCCTCCTCTCCAGGCCAGAGGGAGAAAAATAACAAAACGAGGAGAAAATAAGCTGTTTGGCTGTGGCGTGAGCAGGAATATCCATGCAGAGCTGCCCACCACTCACCCTTACTCACTCTTTCCACACCCAGCGGGGCGCCCAGCATGAGACAGACCACCCCTCTGCCCCTCCCCCGTCTGGGCTAAAAGCAGACGCTGGTGAGCGAGCAGCAAGTTATAAATATGCCCAGGGAACTGTGGCCAACTCGCTCCCGTGTCATCCCCTGGGAGGGGATAGGGTGGGGTGGTTCCTAAGGAGGAGCCAGGGCTGCCCTGCTCCCTGGGGCCCAGGAGGAAGTGGGGCTTCCAAGAGGCTACTGCTTTTTTTTCTCCCTCCTTTTGAAAGGAAGGAAATTCTGCCATTTTGTTTTTCCTGGACATTTGCTCATCGGCTCAGAGGTGGGGTCCCCATTCTTCCTGGGCCATGGCTGGGAGCTCAGAATGAAAGGGCCCAAGGCCATACACTTTGTATCATGGTACAGCTCAGTGCCATTTCTCTTCCACACACCCACTTACTCTCAGCAAAACTGAAGTCCATTCAATCATTCAACAGGCCTTTCCTGAGGCCAGGCCCTGTGCAGAAGCACATCTGCATGCACAGGCGTGCACGCACACACAGCAGCCTCATTCCCATGTGTTCACACCTGTTCCAACCCCCGTTATGGTCTTCTTGGCTCTAACTTGGTCGCCTCATCCGGAAGGGTAAGGCTTCAGGCTCCTGGTTCTACCTCAAAGGAAGGGGTAGGGTTAGGGGGTTGAGAAGAGGACCCCTAAACATTCCTGCTTCCACTATTTCCCTGATAAATGAGAGGGTCCTTTCTCTCCACCCTGCCCAATCATCTTCCCAATCAATGTAAGTACCATTCTAGGAAGAAAGAACCACTCTGTGGGATGCTGGAGGGCACCTGCCCAGGTTAACTAGAGCCTCTTGCCTCCCATCCACTTGCCAAGTAGGTGCCAAGCTGGGCAAGAGGGGCAGTGCCACCCTGGGAAGCTTCCAGCTCTCCTTCCTCAGGGCTGAACCCCTCCCTCTCCCTCTTCCCTATTAATCCTCGGAAGTGAGGCCCCTATTGTGGCCCCTCGCCCTCCTTGGCTGGCGTCTAATTAACTCCTTCTGCCCCCGGTTTTGTGTGCCCCCCTTACCCCACCTTGTCGGCCCCGCCCCTCCGCTCCGCCTGCTCCCCCCCACGGACATTCCAGCCCGGCTGGGCTGCTGTGCCAGGGCAACCAGGGCTGGACCAAGACCTAATCCCCCCCGCCGCCTGGCCGGGCTGGGGGAGCCCCACTCACCTCCCCGCTCTCTGGAGGCTGCACGGCTCTGCTGTGGCGGAGACACACAATCAGCACAAAGGCGCAGCCCCCAGGGGGCTAACTCAGCCTTCACGCCCAGGTTGTGCGGCATTTGGGGAGTTTAATGAATTGTCCATCACGCCTTTCAGGGCCCGCCCGTCAGCCTGGATTAATCTTCGGAGCCCTGGTGGGGTAGGAGACACTAAGCCTGTATTTATTACTCTCCCATTGTCACTAATTGAGGTAATTATCTGTGACTCTGGCCTGGCCAACAATGCAGCATTCACTCCCGGGACCTCGATGGGCCTGGCTCCCACTCTCAGCACCAACCCTCCCTCCTCTATCAAACCCACCAAGGGCTAAGTTGGGCCCTGGAGCATGTTGGGAAAGTGGACAATGTCCCACAATGCTTCACCTCCCAACCAGTTCTCCCACAGCCACCACTATGGAGCTGCAGCTAGGGTGAGGCCTACATTCCTCCCACCACTCGCCCAAAGTAGGTGAGAAAAGAAGGCAGCCTGTCAGGGAGCAGGTTTGGCTGGAAGAGCCCTCAGGCCCCAGAAGGGCATGTTTCTGAGGTCTTTGGTTTTCTGGACTCTCCAACCCTTCATCTCTGGGCTGGTGGTGCCAAGGTCTCACAAAGCCCTTCTCTGGATTCACCCTCATGTCCTCTAGCCTCCAGAGCTCTAGGGTTTGGGGAGATCCCAACCCAGACCAGGTGTACTCTGGCGAGGTCCCTAAAGCTACCAGAGCTGGCATAATGGCTGTGAGTATGACAGGGGAGATTGGAAAAAAGAAGAGGAAAGGGTTCATCAGGAAACTTAGGGGGAGGGCAAGAAAAGCTACTTGAGGAAGGAGCACCCAGGGGTCACACTAATATGGCCACACTAATATAGCAATCTTAGGGACTGATGTGGATTTGGAGGGGTGAGCAGTGCCAAAGAGTAAATTTCACATGGAGATAGTTTCCCAGGTCAAGGGAACAGGTGTGAGTTTGTGTGTGTGTGTGTGTGTGTGTGGGGGGGAGATAGCAAAGGAAGATTTTGGTCAGGCCTGGATGGTGAGCTCCTTGAAGGCAGGGACTCTTTTTGGTCACTGTTATTTTCCCAAAAGCTAACATTGTACCTGGCACATATTAGATACAGTCAAATGAATGGATGAGTAGATGAGGTCTATAATACTTGCATTGGGGTTGAGGGTCTGTCGCTCTTCTCTTCCATAAATGCACGCAGGCTCTTCATTCTGTCTCAGGACTT